AAAATTCTGTTGATTCTTACTTTCAAATCCTTCTGCATCGACTATTCATATCTATTTCTAGATACCCACGAACAAATACTTGAATTAAACTTTTGCACTTAGCTTTCTCAATGTCTAACTCTAAAATAACTCACAATAATGAACAGGCATCAGTATTAATATATTTTTTGTTACTAAAGAAAAAAAAATCCGTTAACGTCAATGTCATAAATGTTTTTATACGATATACAGCGTCCTATTAATGTCAAAGATGCTAGGGCGCTGCATTTGATGAAGAGGGTTTTTTTTATCAATGATAGAATATTTCCATATAGCATGCGGCGTCCTAGTGTTCTGTTGATATCGAAAACGTCAGGACGTTCCAATCGATTAAGAGAATGTTCTGCTTTTAATTAGCTACATGAGAATCTCTTGATGTTCATTTGATTGTGTATGATGATGTTTATGTTCATCTTTTTTCAGGCATCTATGGATACTGATTCAAATGAAAAAACAAATTGTTGCGTTGACGGTTGTCCATCCAATCTCAACAATAATTCTCTTTGTCTTACTCAGGCAATAGAGTTCGCTTGTGAAAATTGTACAAATAAATTTTGTTTTACTCATTTTGTTGATCATATGAAAAAAGGAGAAGAAGATCCAAATTAAAAAAGATAAAATTAGTTCTGTATGAGTAATATTGTGCTATTTTTAGATCAAACAAAACATCATGTAACTCAACTTCTAATCATTTGTGTTCAACTGGCTTAGCTATAATATCGGGTTCGCTATAAACTTTTTGAATCTAAATTATAAAAGACTAATTCTTTTTTTTAGACAAAGAAGCTCTGGTACTTCAACCAGTGGCTACGTCAACATCTATTCATTTAATAGAGTTGAATTCATGATTAAAAGGCGACATCGTTAAAGATGAAAATCACCTTATTGCAAATAATGTAATCGAAGTTATGGATTCAAATATGAGCAACCAGGCTGATATACTCATATCAAATGACGTTGATTCTAAATTAGAAACGACTATAAAAGAAAAACCTTATGTGCAAAAGCCAAATCAAACTGTAGAAAGTGAAAATTCGCTTGAAGAAAATACTGAAAGATTAAATCGATTAAACTTTTACCTTAAAAATATAACGACTTATATGAATTACATGCAGGTTTTTATTTCGATTGTAACAAAGTTTCCACTAATTCAATTGAACACAACTGATAAGTCACCAAGAATTAAATATTTATGTGTAGCTGGTAACTGTTTCTTTTTATAATGAATGATATCATTAGACAGTAAACTCTAGATACATCAATATCACCGAATGAACAACTGGTTTCAATACAACTTAGCTTTGAAAACAAAGTTAATTTTAAGCACAAATTTCTGAATAATCTTTTTCCTGGTAAAAATTTCAGTTTAACACACTCTACATAAACATTCTCTTTGATAGATTTGAAACTATCAGATTACTTACTCATTGCAAATGGTGACCTTTTTAATGAGGAAATTAAATCTTTATCTCAAGAAAGATACATTGAATCATCAGTTCGTTCATCTAAAAAACAAAAATCATTATTCAAAGATTATTATCGTAAAAAACAGCAGGAAGCCGCCTCGAATGCATTGAAGCAGCCATCACTTGCTAATGGTTTATTTAATTTAATATTTATGTCATCCATCTAATGATAAATTTTCTCTTCTAGCCGTTGCTGTCATAAAAGATACCTTTCCATTTGAGTATCTGACTTTTGGAAATCAAATGAGAGGTAATATTGAATATGAACTCCAACAGATTGAAAAGCAAAAACAAATTGAATATAAACCAGTGTATGATTCAACATCATTTAAGTAAAGATTGTTTTTACAATGATTTCTGGTGATCTTTTTTTTCATTATAGAATTCCTGAAGAACATCGAAACAAAATAAAGGAATGGTTGGAGTATGATTTTCGCATGCGTACTGAAGGAAATATTACTCGATCAAGATGCTTATTCTTGATTGGACCAACTCAACATGGTATTTAAGTTAAATATTTCTAATCTATTCAACTTATTCAATTTTTACGTAGGCAAAACATCGTGGGCACGAAGCTCAGGACCACATCGTAGCTTCTCCATTAATTTCTCTCTTCGAGTTCGATAATTCTTTTTTCTTTTTAAGAAAATAATAGTTTCATTTAGGAATGGCATAAAGATGTGAAATACACCATATTAGATGATACTAGTTGGAAAGATATTAGTCCAATAGCTAAAGGTCTCTTGATTGCTCCTGGTAAAATAATTCTTACAGGTTCGATTTATTGTAACAATTGCTTAAAACACAACTTTTTTTTTCATAATAGATAAATATATGACTAAAATCGAGCTCGACAACAATAAACCATGTATCGCTTGCGTCAATGATAAGGAAGGAGATATAATATTAAACTCTGATACAGATAATTATTGGTAAGCAAATGGTGTATGGATTCACTTAAGAGAAGGACAAAAAATGTTTTAAAAAAGAAATCATAATGATCTTAATTACATAGTTATCTTATTTGCTCACTCTATCTTAATCAATAATTCATTAACTTAATCACGTGTTCTTTTTTTTGTTCTCTGTAAATAATCGTCATTTAATATTCAATATAGTCTTATCAATATTTCATTATCTTAATCACTTGTTTATTTGTTTTGTTCTCTATAAATGATCTTCATAATATATGAAGGGTGTGGGGTGTGGGTGTGTGAGAGTGTAGTAGTCTTTTGCTTTAATGGCTTGGCTGCGTGTTTGTGTCTTGATTTAGTGATTTAGTGATAGGGCGGTGTGGTGGTGTTCTGCTATGCCCCGTCAACTGTAATAATCTATTGCTGAAAAGCAAGAGTCAAGACTAGCAATTCGGTTTGTATTCGTCAATATAGGTCGAATTGTTTCATGAAGAATTCACACCCACACCCATTCATATCTTAGAAGATTATAGAACTATGGATTTAGATCAAAATAACTTATTAAACATTCGTAAAAAACAAAAAACATCAATTTTACTACAGCCCATTGAATAGTGTTTAACATATTCACGAACTGAAGCAGAACGGCAAACATTATGGTATCCACCGATTTCCACCAGATCCACCAGATCCACCAATTGAACGTAAAAATCGAACAAGAACTATTTTTCTTAATCGGTTTAGTTGTCGTGCTTGATGATCAATGGAAACCAATCATTTTCCTCAAGACATTATCAGTACAACTGTTCCGCCAAATAATCAATGGAAAACAATAATTTCCTGTACATTTGCTTCTTCCGAAATCACTTTTATCTTGTAACTGTTTTTAATTCCGGTTCGAACAATTTTTTTTGTTTTTCATTTTGCTTGTAGATTGTAATATGCAGAGCCCAGAAGAGTGTTTCGTATAATTAAATAAATACACGAAACGCGTCGACGAAAAAAAAACTCGGCATTTCCTATAAAAAAAGTAATCAATTATAAACACATTATTTTAAATTTCAGTTTAAAGTTAAATTTGTTTTCGACTTTTGATCGATTACTGAAAAGCAAGAGTTGAGAGTAGCAGACTGATTTGTCTTTTCGTTAAAGGATAGGTCGCTCTGTTTTCTAATTGATTAACACCCACACTTAGCTAAACGCTTTCATATAACTATTATTTTATTTCGTTTCGAATAAATCCGTCCGATAAAAACTATATTTTCACTACAATTATAAAAAACACCTATCCAATTTACAAAAACAAACAATAACTGGTATGTTAATTTTTTTCCTATTGAAATGCAAAAGCAACACTGCCATTTTATCGAAGAAGTTTTACAAAATCCATTTCTAATTAAAAAAGAACTATTCAGATTATTTCTTCGAGTCTCATTATAATTTAATTCAGAGCAAGTTTTCTGACCAAATTTATCTATTTCTATTTTCAAACCAAATCACGTATTCGCAGGCTGAACAGGGAATAGAACAAACTAAATATATTGATGTATATCACTCAAAAAGCAAAAATCATTTATAAAACGACTGAACGCAAAGACTTTCTACGCCATAAAGTGAGAAACAGCATCATACAAAACATTTGAAAAAAAATTATCCGCCATACTTTCCATTTCGTTCTATGGCTCGCCATATATAACAGACCATTCAGCGTAAGGTAGCTAACAGTGTTGCAAGACGGCGGTATCAAAAAAAGAACACTACCACACAACACTGAACCGACATCTACCACGAAAATGCAACTATTTCAATTTTATTCCCTAGAATCGAAATAATTTATTCTCAAATAATTATCGTGGTAATCTATCTCACCCTTTTCAATTAAGAGGTTTAATTATGCTTTGATCTTTGGATCATATAACTAATTGAACGATGCTAATTGACAAGATTTGTCAATACTTTCGAAAAATTTTAATATTAAAGTTTCCTGGTTATTTACTTCATCACAGTATATTGAATTTATCAGCATATATATATATATATGTTTTTTATTCGATATATACAGGGGGTGGCAAAATTATAGGACCCCCTTCAGTCAACGCAAAAAAATTAACTTTTTATTTCAAGAAGAGGTAAGTTCGTCTGGTGAATATTTGCGATAGACACATTGGTATATGTGATATACTAGTATGTCTTTATTATTTGTTTTCTTCTTTTAAATACGTGTAGAAATCGACAGCAAGAAAAAAGTGCTGTGGCATAATTATGGGACCCCTTATGTATATTTCTTTGTTTTTGTTTATTATAAAGTTTTCTTTTCAAAACACAAAAACACTAATAATGGCTAGCGAAACCTCGACGTTTGATTACTTGTCGGATTCGTTTGGACATAGATTCCAACAGTTTTTGTATTGTATCATGTGAGATTTCCATCCACGCCATCTTTAATGCAGTTTTTAGTTGTTCCGTGTTATTAATATTATATTTTAA